ATTGTAAGTCAATGGTTATTGAAAACCTTTGAGGATGGAAAAAAATAGTCTACATTAACATCATTGGTCTACATTGAAAACGATTCGAAACGACGTAAGAGTTGTCAATTACTTTTTCAAACATTACTGATATTCTCACAGGACATTCGCGAAATCGCCATTTTTTTTTTAATTTTTATAATAATATTAAACTACCGTACATAGTTATTTTTACTTGACATTGGCAAAATCATTGATTATTTCGATGGAGCCATAACATTTAAAAGAAGAAGTACTCGTGATGACTTTCTTCTCCTGTTTCCAAAGTTTGAACCTTTACAATTCACCTACGTATTGAAGGGTAGACAACATAAGCTACAAGATCCATTTTATTATTATTGAAAAATACAAGCAATTGAATAACAACGTGGTGTATGACGGAGCGTTGAGGTCGTTCACTTTAATGGCTATCGCCAAGGAGTACAATACAATTTTGGAGACGAATATACACACGCACACTTTCAAACGCTTAAAGCGATACATGTATTTCAAGTTTTTCGAAAATTTATCAAAGGCACGGTACACGAGTCGTGTTTCAATGCATTCTATAAAAATACGTACAGTGATAACGAAATCGGTGAGTGGTTCAACGCCAACAATGTTACCGAGAAAGGAGTAAAACAAAATTTTTGAAAGTTTGTCCCGCTGTTTGTAAATATTCAACACGAGCTTTTGGAAAATAATAAGAAGTCGTTCAATGTATTTCCTGTGTATTCTCACGGGTAGAAATACCTCACCTACGACTCGCGGGGTTTGCATTAACTTTTACGCAGAGTCGATCGGCAGAATACACCATCGTCGTGAACGCTTTTTTCAGAAAATGTCAAACAATATTGGAATAAATATTTCAGCCTACTCAAAAATTTTCGGTTATAGTTTTTGCACCGACGGCGTTTGCGTTTCAATGTCGATGAATAGATTATTTGAGAAAGGGTACAAATATAAAACCAAGGTTGAAAACAACAACAGTTATAGGAAATATATAAAAATATATAATAAAGTTATAGCCGTTGATCCAGGCGCCAAAACCCCTGTAGTTACATGCACGAGAACCAGCGACGGGTTTGAGTACAAAACGCTGAAAAAGGGTAAAGTTGTACACGAAACTAAAGAGTGGCACCGAGAAAAAAGAGATAACGATTCGTCAAAGATACATGCAGAAATTAGGAATAATAGAGAGTCTACAGAAAAGCAACTGGGATGTGCAATCTCTCGCAAAACTGCACACGTAGAAGAATACAACAAATTCCAACTCAAATGGTTCGACAAGAAACAGCAACGATACGAACAGAGGCGGGTGCAGCGGTTAAAGTTTGACAAGTACACGATCAAAAGGTAAACCACACGATTGTCGAAGAGTATTTCGCCAAAGAGGCCGGCACGCTCATGGTTTACGGCGCCGGGTTGGATTTCATGAACAAAGGGAACTTTATCAAGGGTCACTTCATTTCCTAAACGAAAAAAAATGTCAATCTATATTACAGGCGAAGCGTTTACAACTAAAAACTGCAGCAAATGTTCTGAAAAAAAACATACGGCAAGGACTGCACGTTTCTAAATCTCCACACTGTTACGTATACTGTAGTGTATTCATAGAGATAAAAACGGGGCAAAAAATATTCTATTGAAATACGAATATAAAGTTCAAAATTTGCCGTGTGTTCCTTCGTTCACCGGCATTGATATGGATGTTAGTCAATAAGGTCCATTATCGTAACTCTCAGCCGGTCATTAAGACCGATTAAGGGTTAATCTTCCAAGACAGTATCTAATTGTTACTATTTTTTTTACGTTTTATGAATATTAATTTGTGTATAGTCAAATTAAAGAAGTTAGACCATTTATTGCATAAACGACACCGATATTCAGTCGCTAGGATATTTATCGACAGCAATCAATACTTGTTTGTAATCTGGCAATTCTTTTGCGCATTGAACTGTCATTTTGCTCGTATTTGAAATAAATAGTACAGATAAATGGCACAATGTAAAACCGCCGATTAAGCTCATTATCTTATTATTAGGTATACTTACCTATTTAACATAATCGATTTTTGTATATAAATTCATATTGATATAATTTTAACTGATTTTACATTACTTTAGTTACTTAATTTTCGAAAATAAGTAAAAAAATAAGAATTTGCTATTGCATAATTTTGTAACTTATTATTATTTTTACTTATCTATCGCAATTGACTGATAGTTATAAATTAAACTCTTGTTGTAAATATTAGTTTTTAAATATGAAATTATGAATAATTAGGCAAATGCATGCATTTACATGAAAGTTTATATTTGGCACAACTCTTTCCAAAACTGTGATCTATTGTAATTTTTCAATAAAATGATTCCTTATTACGGTAGCTAGTTCTAATTTCACATAATTAAGATTTAAACAATAATAATTAATTCAATTATATGAAAAATATAGTATATTATAAAGCAATAATTGTTAAGATGCACTTTTCCTAATACTTTATATGAAATTCCATATCATTTTTTGGATTTCATTTTTGTACTATCTCTATTTAAATGATTTTTTACATTTGAACAAAATACAATTGTATTGAGAGTTAAAAGCAGGTGCCATTTCATTACATACCGAAGAATTGTATATTGGAATATTGTACAATTGGTTAATATCTTCAACCAATACAATAATTTAAAAAAACATAGATCATTTTATTTCCACCCTTTGAACTTTAAAATGTATCTTGATGATTTGTTATTACCAATGATCGGAAAAAGGTGAACCACATATATAAATACTTGTGTAGATATAGCTACAAAGAGCGACATAGAGCTGTTAAAACACCAAATATTATTTTTCAAACATTACTGGTTCGAATTTCGGCTTTCCGAAAATGGTTGTTGCATCGTAAGACAAAGCTGCTGACGTTCGACTTCCTAAGTCGAAGTTGGATTTTAAAGTAATGGTGTTGTACAAAATGCAGTAGATATACATTGAGGGACGGCGACATTTGCTAGAACTTAAGAAAAAAAAAATTAAATTTTATTTACGAGGGGAATTTTGGAAACGTACTGCTGCACGCTTAAATAAGACGAAAAAGTGGTATTTTAACGGCCCTACCCATGTACGTGCTATTTATCTTCATAAATAAAATAAAGTGAGGAGTTTCTTTCATACGGAATTCGAAAAAAGTAATTAATTAAATTTTGGTGGTTTTAACAACTCTATGTCTCTCCTTGTAGCCATATCTATATATTATGTGAAACACCTTTTTTTGACCATTGATACTGATATATTACTAAAATAATGCAACTAATTTTAAAATAAAAATTGCTCTTTATTTACAACTTACAAAAACTTCTTTTCGCACTTATCAAACCAACTCTTTGGTACATATTTGGTGCTATTCTGCCATTGCTTTACAACATTATAAACAGCCCCATCGACAATTGAGAACTCATCTTTATAAATCCAGCTTTTGTGTTGAGCAAAGATTTTTTTAGTCACAGCATCTTTGTTCTTTTCTGGAGTCCTTTCTAGCAAATGACAGAGGTCAAGGAGATAGTCAACATAGTAATCTTCTGGGTCGTAAGGCAGGGTACTGGGGTACACGTATGAAAGGTATCTCAGAATGTTAACATTCCCCACAATAGGAACTCCCAAAGAAGACAACTTTAATTCTGAGTCAGCTGAACCTGTAAGAAATAACTTAGTGTTAGGAACTAGAGATGAAACGGATTGCGATTTGGCCGGGTACCGGATATTTGGCGAAAACTTAGGCCGGATATCTGGCCGCCGGATATGTGGCCCCCTGCGCAAACGTATCGCGACCGCTTTACAATGCGCATCGCCGTGATTAAATGATTAGTGAATGACTGCGCTTTCACATATTTATTCAATAATACAAATTCTTTTTTTTTAATCAAATGACCTCCATCTCACCTGATAGAAAGTGACGATTAGGTCGACGACGCACACCTAAGTAATACCTATTCAAGTCCAAGTTATAACGTTCAGGGAACAAGTCTGCAGGGAGGGAATTCCACTCCATAGCCGTTCGCCATATAATAATAATATAACACACACACTCAACATAGCCCCGAACTAGGGAAACCCTGTGTCGCGGGTGCCATGGACACACATATAGACAACCACAAATTACACCCAAACTCACGAGAGAAACAAATGTAGGTCATACAAATATTTCTCCCGGCCCGGGAATCGAGCCTGGGACCTCTGCGTGGCAGTCCGGCATGGTAACCGTTCGGCCACAGAGGCAATTAAAATATGGAATATAAATATGGAAGCGTAACGCTTCGTGCGAATCTTTGGAATATCCACAATATAGGGGTGGATTCCAAGCCTACGTCTAGTCCCCCGATGATGGAAAGGGGAAGGAGAAATTAAATCATGTAATTCCATCGCACACTCTCCGTGACATATCCTATAAAATACTGATAAGCAGGCAACTTTACGACAGTGTTTAAGGCTCTGCAGCTTCACGTCTACTAATTCCGAGTCACCTATAAACCTTTTGGCACGCTTGTCAATTGAATCCAAGGTGGCCAGTTGGTATGTAGCAGAACCATCCCCAAGGTGGCAGGAGAAATGTCAAGTGAACACACAATCGCAAATTTGGTAATATTTTAATATCAGGGCTATTTGTTAGTTGTGCCGAATGCAATTTTCTCGTGGTGAAAGAAAAAAAACAGTTCTATAGTCTTTCTTTGGCTATATTAAAATTTGTAGTCGTAATTTTATAAATATGAATGTACCACTTGATACGCCCGTTACAATTTTATTTCAATTTGATTTTAGTAATTTGCCGTTTGTGATTTAACTAATATATGCCAGTTTTTGCCAAAAAAAATCTTTTCTAAATATACTTAAACCTTTCATTATCGTCGATACACATTGTATATGAAATAGATCAATTATTATTTGAAGACGGTTTCAATCGATAGTGTTCACTACCCTTTGATTTGGTGATCTGGCAATATCAAGTAGTTTGTAGTGAAAAACTGTCCTCTGAAGCTGGCATCGTTTATGAACATAATCGGTACAGACTTTTACCACTTAATGCAGAAAAACTGATCTTCATCCACCTTTAATTTGCCTTTATTGAAATTTGAATTCTAAATTTACAGATAACGTTATCTAACTTCATAGTTCTTTCAGTTACAAGTCATGAACAGATTTTCGATGATCCTGTACTTGCTATTTTATCCTATTACAATTTTTAATTTTTCTGTTTTAGACATCCGATATCTGGCCGGGTGCTGTTCTACTATCCGGTATCCGGTCAGATAGTAAAATTAGGCCGGATACCTGGTAGTTACCGTATATCCGTTTCATCTCTAGTAGGAACCTTGCAATGGATCATTATAGGAAATACATTATTGTTGATGAACCAAGTCAACAATAACCCATTCACCAACTATCAGATAAGACGATCACAGTACAACACTTTAGGGGACACACTATGTACCTTATTCCAGTGCCATGATAAGTAGAATATTTAAGTATTAAAAATTGAACTAGTGAATTTGTGCCTCAGATGTTTATGGCTGTTCTAACAACAAAAATTTATTTGCTGTTTCAAAGTTATACAAATGCTTTACTGATGATGCTGAGATAACTTTCTTTCAGAATTACCATTCTTCAATCTTGATAATTGAAGCATCACGGCAAAAAAGGCGTGATTAACCAGTTCTAGTAAATCCACGAATTAGCAGACTATTCTAAGCTTAATGGAGAAGTCAATTATCTCATTGCCAAATAGGTACCTACAGCCTATGGAAAAAATGAAAAATGTACAACTGCACTGACTTCATACACACTAAGATAATAAATAATACTAGTGTTTTATTTTGCTTAATAAAAGTTTTGTACACAGAATGTTCATTTTCATATTTCTTTATTCAACTAAGGTATACATATATTAGTATTTATATAAGGTAGTATTAGTATAATGTGTATATTACAAGTTTCAATATACACATCAAATCAAAGTTAAAATACCTTATTAAGCTACATTGCAGCTGTACAAATTATTTCTCATTATTTTATAAGTAAAATTCCAGTAAAACAAAAAGTAAACTCAATGTAACAATATAGAGCGGTAACGCTACGGCGTCCTACATAGAAATATCCATGGTATGCCACACGCGTACCGGACTTACAACCAGCGAGACTAGGCGGGGAGAGGAGTACACATAGCGACGGCGGAGCGACACCGCTCCAACGCGCACTCTGTCGCTCATTCGTTTATGCGGTCATACACTTGTTTGTTTCAGTTTATTTTTATTTTTTGTTTTTTTTTAATCGGAGAAAAAAAATTGTGAAGAAAATATTGACATGGACTACTTGATTTGTTTAATTCAAGAGAAATTATATGGGATAAATAAGAGCAACAACATGTCTCTTCTGATCCAATTTTATTAACAGAGTGTACGTGCACCACTGTTCATCGCAATCTTGGTGCGTTGTCGCAGCGGCGTGCCGCCCGTGTGACCCGGCTCTCATGGTCCTTTTTAATTTAAGTGTCACAGACAGCCTTTCTTGCAGAGCATGCATCCAGCACACAACAATGCTCAGGCAAACTATTGGGCGAAATACGCAGAGGGCTAAGATCACTGTCCATACCCTTCAATTAACAAGAGGATGTTAAAACTCATGAAGGAGTTTTGTAACATAAGTGCCTTGCATCCATCACAAAAAAATAAGCTCCATGACATTGAGTCATGGAATTCAACCCAATGTAATGTACCATACTAACAATGAATGTCTAATATTGAGAGAACTTACCATATCTAAATATCAGCCTCAAATTGATTTTGGAAGAATTTCCAGTAGTCTTCAATTTGTTAACAAATGCTTTGATTTTTGCAACTTTTTCATTGGGCACTGAAGAGTGGATGTGCCAAGAAACATTTACTGCAAGATTTGACTCCTTCAACAACAGTTTTAAGAACCAAGGTAGGTTTTCTGGGTTCAAGACGACTACAATTTCTTCAGGTGTTGGGATCTGAAACATGAACTCATGAGCTATTTTCATGTATCCAGAGGAACAGCATTTTGTATTAATTTTTTATTGAGTATCTACAACACTGTCAATAAACCTCTATTTAAAATACAATAGATATAAAACAGTTTATTTAAATTGTGTAAACAGAAAATTAATTAAGAATATATATTCTTAATTAATTTTATATATATATATATATATATATATATATATATATATAACATCAAGTGACGGGACAAACAAGTCATGCGCCTGATGGTAAGCTACACACCTGTCCATAACAGTTACAGTGCCACTCAGAGCTTTAAATCGCAAAGATCTTAGGGGCACTGCCACTGCGCCCGTCACCTTGAGACATAAGTTGACAAGTCCCATGTGCCTGTAATTTCACTTGCACCCTTACCTTTCAAAACTGAAACACAATAATGCTGAAATTACTGCTTAGTGGCAGAAATAACTCTTTCACAAGAAATTCTACAGCTACTAAATACTAAAATATAAATCTAGACCATAGAATAATCAACTCACAGTTTGTTTTAAATTCTTAGTGGCTTGAGTAGTGTTACTTGTAGTACTTTGGCTGCAGATTGAGCTAATGGTCTTGATTCTATCATAAAGAATGTCCAGTTTCTTCAAAAGTTTATCTTGTCGTTCCTCTAATTCAGCCATTTTTCGGTTAGGGCCCTAAAATGTAATAATTTTTAATAATCTCCATAATTTATGTTTTATTTACATTATAAGACTATAAAACGAAACATTGTCTATTTATAAAACAGGTACAGTCCCATAACTTTTTAAGGGCACTATACTGCCGTCCGCTAACTAAAACACGGCTAAGTGACAAAATCATTTTTTGAAATATCATAAAAAACCATAACCCAATTTTAGAATATTGAAATTGATGATATTTCAGCTATGCTTCGTTAAAGTAAGTTCCAAAGTTGAACATGGTAACTAATTTTAACTGTTTAAAATAATTATAATTATAATGCACACACTCATGTAGCCACGCACTAGGGAAACCCTGAATCGCGGGTGCCATGGACACACACATAGACAACCACAAATTACACCCAAACTCACGAGATAAGTAAATGTAGGCCATACAAATATTTCCCCCGGCCCGGGAATCGAACCTGGGACCTCTGCGTGGCAGTCCGGTATGGTAACCGTTCGGCCACGGAGGCAGGTAAAGATAATTTTGTGCTCTACCTTGTGCTATTTAAAACAGATATTTGACCATTTGTCACTTAGCTGCATTTTAGTTGGTGGGCGGCAGTATACCCTGTGACCTACTCAGTCAGATCCTAACGCCAGATCAGCCCATTTGCACGGACTTCATTCGGTTCTCAAAAGGCTAGTGCCTTGGGTGAGCCGCCCCAGGAGCACGCACAGTACCCTCCATATATTCCAGATAGGTACCGGAGTTGTAAGTACCGGTACAGTAATGAAAAGTAGGTAATAATATGCGGATATATAATGAATGTATACGTTGCGTATAAAGCACAGTATGTTAGTTTGGCTGAAAGATATACTTTTGGTTAGAATACGAAATGGGTCGTGTATAGTTTCAGAACGGTACACTAAAGGATACTGTAATGGAATAAACCTTAAGAAACTTGATAACCTGCTCGCTGATATTGATATTTGCCTCGTCTGCTTTTAGAAAGTCATTTGGATTTTTAATACGATACATGCATGTCGGTAGCACAATCTCATCATCGTAAGTGATGATTTTCTTCATTCGATACATCATTTTGTCAACTAAAACTATTGAGAAGAGTGTGTTACACCTCTTACCGATGATCTACGCTACTAATTGTTATAGTATTTTATATTTGCAATAATTTTCGGACACGTTTGTTTCGCAAGAAAGAATCAATTTGCCGTGATGGACAATTTGACATTCACCACAGACTACTTAGTGAACTACGTGACATTACACAAAAATTAATGTTTGTTTTTTTAAAATTTATAAAGGGCCCGAAACGTCGGTTTGTTTGAAAAACAAATATAATTTAAATCAGGAAAAATAGTTTAATTTCCTAGGATGTTAAGAATTATTTTTTTTCTACCGTACTTATAATAAACTTACACAATGTGTTAGGGCACGCACTGTACAAACTTTAAGGCCTAGATGAATATATGTTAAGGGGGTGTTCAGTATTGAATATTATGTGGAAAACATTAGTACATGTAGGGTCAAAACTCAATTCCCTAGGAATGGCAGCCATTTTGATTTTTTATACTTAGTTTTCTAGATGAATGTTCGAAAATTATCATATTACGAAAAGTAAAAGCATATAAGCAATATAAAATATTTTTTCCAAAAGCTAAGATTAGCGGCTATTGAATAAAATATCTGTGAGATACTGCTGATTATTCATGACGAACCAACAATAAATTTCAATACGAAAGCACTTATAGTCATGTTGTGTTGTCTGAGTAGAGAGTAACAACTGACTGTTATTAGTTAAATGAAAAGTACCGTTAAGAACCCTTGGAACTTTTTTTCAATCAGGATCATGCTTGGGGCTTATCTTTTGTCCCGTTTGCACTTGCAAACTAGGCAGAATGAGCCAGGTAGTAAATGGTTGAAGGCATGTCCATTGTTACAGCCGAGAGTGTTCTTTTGTGTTGTTAAGACGCTAAGTTCAAGTAGTAAAAACTTTTAGAATTGTAGACATAGGATTATATTTTGGTCTCGTTTTTAAGAACAATTGAAATAGTTTAGAATTAACACACTAAAACAATATCTTAATTTGGTTATTTTACGATTAAATTACAAAAACATTTTTTTTGGCAGTTTTTTGTTAAAAATTGACATTAATTATTTTTTTAGAATATTTCCCACCTTTTTTACATACCTCACAGATATTTTATTCAATAGCATCAATAGCCGCTAATCTTAAATTTTCGAATAAGTATTTTATACGTTCGTACTGCTTTTACTTCTCGTAATATGATAATTATAGAACATTCATCTAGAAAACTAAGTATAAAAAATCAAAATTGCTGCTATTCTAAGGGTCGTATTCTAGAACCTTAGGGTCGTATTCCAGAACTCTACTCAATGCTCAAGTCAGGATTTGAGCAGACTTGAGTATGATTTCAAGCACTGGAAATACGACCCTAATGGCAAGGACTTGAGTATGATTTTCAGTGCTCACTGCAATACTCATGTCCTGCCTTGAGCATTGAGTAGAGTTCTGGAATACGACCCCTAGAGAGTTGAGTTTTGACCTCACATGTACGTTACGTTATGTGGAAAACACTATAATATCCAATACTGAAGTACGTGCCCTAACACATTGTAGAGTGGGATAAAAAACTCATTATTATCAGGGCGTTCAATGTATTCTCGGTATCGGGGTGATTAACTAATGATAAGAGTAAATTAATTACCTCATTAGTTAAAGACACTCTTTAAGGGTATAAATATAAAATTTCATGTAATTGTCATCATTAGTATTCAAGTTATCAATACGAGAAGACAACTACAATGACAGACGCCACAATGTTGACGAAAATCGAGCACCGCGCAGTGATTAAATTCCTTACAAAACAAGGAAAGACTCAAAAGGTTATTCATGAAGAAATGGTGGCTGTTTATCAAGATTCTTCTCCTACATTATCTACTATTCAGAAGTGGTCTAGTGAATTTAAACGGGGTAGAGAGATAATTGAAGACGACCCCCGTGCTGGAGGGCCGGTAAGTGCCACTTCTGAAGACAACGTCAAAATTGTCGAGAAACTTGTATTGGAAGATGCCCGTATCAGAGTCAAAACATTAGCAGAAAAGTCTAAGCTATCCGTAAGTACCATTCACACTATCCTTCATGAACATCTGAATCTTTCAAAAGTCAGTGCAAGATGGGTGCCGCGAATGCTCACGCCGCTTCAGAAACAAGTTCAAGTTGAGTGCAGTAAGGGGTTTTTGGAGCTCTGTACCGAAAATCCGAGTGGAATTTTTGAACGCATTGTCACCGGTAATGAAACGTGCATTCATCACTATGATCCTGAGAGTAAGCAAGAGTCCATGCAGTGGCATAAAAAAGGAACAGACCCACCGAAGAAGTTTAAAGTCTGCCCATCCGCCGGAAAACTCATGGCCACAGGGTTTTGGGATTTTAAGGGAATTTTACTGATCGAATACACAAAAATGGGTCAAAGTATTACTGCCGCAACTTACGCAAACAGCCTACGCAATTTGAAGGACGCTATAAAGGAAAAAAGACCTGGAAAATTGACCGCTGGTGTCTTGCTTCTTCACGGCAACGCGCCGGTTCACACAGGGCGCGTTGCCAAGGCTGCTGTGAGGGATTGTGGATTTGAAGAAATCACTCATCCATCCTACAGCCCTGACCTGGCCCCCAGTGATTACTTTTTGTTCCCAAACCTAAAGAAAGATCTTCGGGGTAAGCATTTTTCCGACGATGAAGAGTTGAAGGAGGCAATTAATGAACATTTTTCAGGCAAAGAGGAAAAATATTTTTTCGAGGGCATCGAAAAGTTATTTGCCCAATCAAATAAGTGTATTGAGGCTATGGGAGACTATATTGAAAAATAAATTTTATTTAGAATTTTTTGTCTATTATTTCATACCTATACCGAGAATACATTGAACGCCCCTCGTAGATAGTAAGTCCTGAACGCGGCGGGAAACACTGGCTTGGTTTCGCACACAACTGTCGCTGTCACTTATGACTTTCAAAAGAAGAGACCGTTGGTTGTTGAAGTTAGGCAGTTGAAAATAATATGCTGTAAATCTGCTTCTTCTTCAGTGCAGTGGGGACATCGTGTGTTATTTAGGACCTTTATTCTACTCAGATCAGTCAGAACCAAACAATGCCCAAGTCTCATACGCGAGATAACAGTAATAAACTTCCGACTGTCGTACGCTCTGCACTTAAAAATTTAATGTAATCTGATGATCTGATGTAATCTGCCAAATCAATTCTGTCTTTTTTTTTGGCTACACAAAACAACTAATTGATTGTGCCACATGATTATTTAATAATTATTGTACTTCGCCAATTCACACTAATAACTCCGACAACAGTTCGTGATTTAAAAAAAAAACTATATTTTTGGACGAAATAAGTTCCTAATAGAATACCACTACCACGACTACCACAATAAAATTCTTTTCTTTTTCTTTTTTTTATTAAACATATTGAAAAACACGTTACAAAAGTTGATGTTTTGCGCGTAAAACCACACCCCGGACACTCCATACAAAATTGCGCATGTGCAGATAGCGCCTTGCTGTATGTAGTAGTAGTAGTTATATGATTTTTGACCGTCGTATGTAGTGTCCGAGGTGTGGTGTGGGCCACACATTCGAACTGTATCCACTATGATGATTGGTACACCATTCGAAATATAACTCCCACACCGTGCGTGTGGGTACACATTCGAACTGTATCCACTATGATGATTATTACAAACAATGATGCAAATTTAGTACAGATGCGAAGGGTAAATATAATTTAGATCATCGAAGAAACCTTATACTAGATAATAATTTACAAAACTTAAAACTAGATACTCAGGGCACATCGACACTTAGAATAATCAGACTACTGTTACTCCGGAATCTCAGAGTACACAGGTACTCACATACAGGTACACACACATACAGGTACTCAGGATATACTCAGCTTTGGGTTGGGAGGAAGGAGATGATGCTCTGCTGATGCTGTTGCTGCAGCTTGTGCTTGGTGACTTCTACATTAAAACTTTTACACAAACAACAAGGTTCTCCATTTTGCCGCTTCACTCCCAGAAATTTATTTTTATTTATTTGTTGAGCATTGGCTATAGAGCCATCAGCTAAAACAACCAACAAACAATTAAGAAACTCAAAACGTAATAATACTTAAACTAAAAATTAATTCGTGAAAAAACTGAAGCTTCAAAAACCCGCCATTTTTTTTCCCTCCAAGAAAGAAAAAACCATAGACTCTGAGACATTCTTTTTAATACTTAGTGTTGCCACCTAAAACTTTTATAAGTTGGCTTGGCTGACACTCACCTAAAAAGTACAAAGTGTCAAGCTTGACGTACTCTTGACTGTACATACTATCGGATAATTTTCCGAAAAATTTCAAATACTATAGAGATTTATACCGGAAATCTTTCTGAAAATTGGACATTGAAAAATATAATTCGAACGCTTATGTTACGTTCTACGTTTAGAAATATGTTTTAAAGTTTTATCTAACGTAAATTATAAAATAAAATTGTCTAGTTAAAACAAGTTACAGAAAAACGTGATTTCAAATTATTATTATTAAAAAAAAATCAAAGATTTTTACATAATTTGGTTCCATAATTTTCGTTCAGTAGCTTCAACTTTTGACAGGTGTCAACTGTCAAATATGGAAAAATACAGGAGAATATTTCTTTTTCTGAAAAAATATGAGTTTTCCAAAATAGAAATTATTCCATGATCCCACTGCGCACTGTTGTTGTATGTAATATAATAATATTAATAATGCAACGCTAGACAAGTCTAATTATTCCATAGACGTTTTCATTTATTGTTGTGTTGAAATGTGAATCAGTAATATAATAGAAATTAAATGCTTAAAAGATTTTAGTAAAAGCTTTTAGTCCAAAATGAAAGTGTCTAATTGATCAAAATTCAAAACTGATCGAACGTGTTAACCCCAGACAAACACAAGCATGAGATTGGCAGCACTGCGGAATATCCGCTGCAATTATCATTCTTCTTATTTGTTGTATTATACATTCGTCTAAAACTAAAGTATTTAGCAAAAATAAATCTTTTTTTATGAAATATGTTTATTTATCACTTTTAAATAAGGTTTTACTAGAAATAAAAAATATAAAATACTAATTTGACGCGACATTGGAAAGAAAGAAATAAAATGGCCGCCGACTTCCCGAAGCCAAGTGCTGTGCGACTACAACTTTAGTGATAATTTACGATCAATAAATTTGAGGGACGTTGTTGAACAACCATATAATAGAAAGCAAATTTATTTCTGTCAAAAATTTTATTGTGCGTGATGTTAACTTTTGAATACCCAGGCACCATGGCATTCGAAAATTCAATATTCCACAAGATATGAAAACGACATGGCGGACGGGTAATCGACCAATGGGAAGCCAGCATCTAGCGTTTCAGAATTACATGTACCTACTCACATTTCGCGTCATTACGATTTTGGTGCCTTCTTTCTTCAGATAAAAATGCATTACTTGGTCTGTTATCAGTGAATTGATTGACTTTTTGGTTTGTTGTGAAAAGACAGTGTAAACTTTGTGTGTAGACCTTGTGTCGTGGAATTTATGCGAAGCAACCCAAACGGCTGTGATCATGACTGCGTTGGATTTAGGTTGAACTAAAATGCATTTCCATCATTTTGTTTTTGTAAACAAGACTTATGTTTTTGCCGTACACGTGCGAATCGGTACATAATTGACAGTTGTTTATAACAATGTCGGGAAGGGGGGCAAAAAAACGCGGGAGGCCCCCGAAAGCGGGAAGTTTTGAGAAAAATAGAAAGTTTCAATATCATTTATTGAAGAAACCAAAATATTTGCAAGCTCAAAATATCGGATCGAGTTCTCTGGCCAGTACTCCATCGGCATCTAGAGCGTCGTCTCCACAAGGTAGCGATGTAAGTAAAAGAAGTACACGAAAACAGAGAGGAGGAAAAGCTCACAAACCCAAAAGAGGTGGGCTATCCGGTGCGTATTCTCGAAGAGGATACAATCCACATGCCGCCGACTACCACGAATCTGAATATCATTACGGATCAGACTTTGGGGATGAGTACAGTGACCGCTCTGAGCAAGAAGAAGAGCGCGGTAGCGATAGTTCCGATGCCAGTGTCGATAACGATAGCGACAGCGACTTCTCTGTCAGCAGTTACAGCACTACAGGGGGTACTCCTAGAAAGGTTGGCAACAATGCTATACGTCCACCTAGCCCTGAGCCTCTTTGGTTGCAGCAGGAAAGGCCTATCCCTCATTTAGATCTCCCATCTTCATCAGATGATTTAATCATCCCTCAAAACTTGGTATTACAGGTAGTTGGGATATATGAAGTGTTACGGCACTTTAGACATTTGGTTAGATTATCTCCATTTAGAGTGGAAGACTTGTGTGCAGCTGTTAGTTGTGAAGACCAGAGCAATTTATTGAGTGAAGTGCATATAATGTTACTCAAGGCTCTGCTGAGAGAGGAAGACGCTCAACAGACCCATTTTGGCCCTTTGGACCATAAAGACAGTGTCAATATTACCTTGTTTTTGCTGGATGTAATGACATGGCCAGAAGTGCTAAGGATTTATGTGGACAGTGACAAATCTTTTGACCAAAATGTGGTTAAAATATTAAACTCTTGCGAATACCCTTTTACAAGTGTGGAAGATCGCCTATCTGTGCTTCAGTTCATGTGCAATCAGTTCCTGATTACAAATTCAGTTCGAGATGATCTCCTGAGTGAAGGTAAGTGCTGTTTATAAGCCCTTAATTTTTTATACTGATATAAATTTACAACAAAACATTGTAACTACCACTATCAGTAAACAAGGTTCCATTTCTTGTCTCTTGTTATAAATCAATTTACCAATAAGACATGTTAGCAAATAAATAAAGAAATTGTAAATTTCGCATTTAAACACTGTCGTGGTAATAAAATTATATCAATTCAATCTATTTAAAAATAATGCATTGACATTATGTTTAGTAACTCTGAATCAAAATTTCTCACATCTATTGGTTATGACCTGGAGACCAAACACGGTTAGTACTGTTAGTGTATGTTGTGCAAAGTAAATAAATAAGTATCAAATTGTACTGCATGCTCAAGAGGCACTATGATGACAAGTTGCAGAAACCAGCTTGCTACACTAAATGTAATTTGATTGATTGCACAATATTTGCTCATATTTCATCCATTGTAACAATAAGAATTAATGTTTTCACTACACCTTAATGGATTATAATATAAAATGTAATTTATATAAATGTAATAATTCAAATGAGGGTGAAGTCAGGCTGTATATAATGATGATGAATAACTGAAATGTGGGAAATTTCATGTTATTTGTCATTTCTTGAACATGTGTGCTCTGAACTGGGTTAATTTTCGAACAGAATAGTTATCAGATTGATAATAGAGATAAATAAATCTTATTGCAACCACAGATTACAGGTATGAACACAAACAAGGAATTAAAATAGGAACTGTTTTTGACTATGATAAAGATGAAAGAAAATTACTGTTTACACTACAATTTAAAATCTCTTACAATTAATTATCCTTTACAGTTCCTATCCATTATGATGATCACTGTCGAGTTTGTCACCGGCTAGGAGACTTATTGTGCTGTGAAACATGCCCAGCAGTTTACCACTTAGAGTGTGTTGATCCCCCACTGGTAGATGTACCCTCAGAAGACTGGCAATGTGCTCTCTGTAAACAACACAAGACTGTTGGTGTGACTGATTGTCTTCCTGATGCAGAGAAGCAAGGCTTGCTTTGTAGACATGAACATTTGGGCTTTGATAGACATGGCAGAAAGTATTGGTTTATCACACGGCGACTATTTATGTAAGTATAAAGAAGTACTGACTACTTTGTGTATTAACACGCTTATGATGAGAGGAAACATTTTGCAAGTTCAATCGTCCAATAAATTATGTACATTAGTGCAATAAATTATGCACATCACTTCACTTATTGTATTGCAGTTAAGCAAGTAGGATGTAACTCATTGCATTGCTCCTTGTATATAATATGTCATGAATTAAGTAGGTACTTGAATGCTTTATTTAATCATTGATGCAAATCAATGGAACAACTTGTTAATGTTGTTAATTAATAATGCTCCACAGCATCAGTTTGTCCTAATGAATCTTACAAAAAAGCATTTTCTAAACATTTTCTTTCATAATATTATGTTAAGCTATCTTATTTACATTAAAATTGATAAAAGTCTCATCATAAATTACAATAATATGGAGAAATATTCCCAATCCAAAATCACCTAATGTTATATATTCTGCCTCCTAAGATACAGGATACCTTTCTTTAGAGGGCAGGATAATCTTGTTATGTTATAACTTTGACTCATAAAAATATTGTAACCAGTTTATTGGTAGTGATTTATAAATAAAACATTATTATAATTACAATTTTATTTTAGTGAGTCTGAAAATGGTGATGTATGGTATTACTCAACACCTCAGCAGTTTGAACAACTTCTGGAAGTGCTTGATGCAGTAGAAATGGAAGCTCCGCTGGTCCGTGAACTTTTGGAAATGAAACACGAAATTATTAGGCAAATGGAAATTACCGAACGACTGACTAATCAGGCGAAAGGCAATCGCAAGTCATACTTGGAAGTTGAGAATAATAATATAATAAAACAGAGGAAATTGGGAGAGGAACGGAAACAACAGGAGCGAAATTTAGGTTTGAAACTTGATGAAGATAAAACAGAAGATTCAGCACTGGAAGGAGACAGTGATGTGATGAATGAAGTAACAGTCACCAGTGAAGATGCACCACATGATGATGATGATCACAATGATGCAGTAGAAGATGATGTAAAGAAGACGAAGAACAATACAACAAACAAGAATAAAAAGAAAATTGAAGAGAGTAAGTTGACGTTTTCCTTTGTTATTTCAGTAATTGCAGTTACAAATGAGCCGCAATTAGAGCAATGCAGTTTGTGGGATTGAAGAGTAAATTACTCACAGTTTTCTATTATATGTATCGCCTTGTGACACAAGTGTGCCGCATGGCGTGTTTAGAATTGTCACAAGGAGTGGCTGCTGTCTCTTAACTAAGTGTGAATAATCGAATTTCCTGTTTTTATTTTTCAGTTACTACAGAAAGACTGACAAGGCTAAAATCAAATCAAATATCCAATGGAACATATCTGTTCAAATTGGGCAATGAGAATAACTTTAAAAATTACGTAAATCAATACACTACAAACCCTCTCGCTCTTAACAAGCCTCAAAGGAATGAAGAGAGAGACAAAAAGCGATATATGTCCCACAAGTTCTCCTTATCTTCATGTCAAGATTTCAAATGGATAGGACTCCTCAATGGTTTGTCCTACTTTATAATTTTCTAACCTGTATGAAACTTAATATTTACTTTTATTTATTCAGAGTTTTAACTAAATATTAAAACTTCGAAGTATAACATCCAAAAGCATCCCAATCAGCATTGGGCCCGCATGGGAACTACAGCCCTAACCCTTTCATTGTGAGACAGGGCCTGTGCCCGGCAGTGGGACTGTATATAGGCTAGCTATTTTGATTACAAAATATAACATAGTATAATAACACAAGCAGAGTTACTCCCATCTGTTTGGCGCATCAATGTCTACACTTCAGTCGGAGTGTAGGGATTGTCACATTATTATTTTAGTTGTACTGCTGCCTCCGTGGCCGAATGGTTACCATGCCGGACTGCCACGCAGAGGTCCCAGGTTCGATTCCCGGGTCGGGAGAAATATTTGTATGGCCTACAATTATTTCTCTCGTGAGTTTGGGTGTAATTTGTCGTTGTCTATGTGTGTCCATAGCACCCGTGACACAGGGTTTCCCTAGTGCGGGGCTATGTTGAGTGTGTGCGTTATTATTATTATTACTGTACTAACAAGTTGTAAACATGTTTACATTATAGTATTCCTGTGCTATAATGACGTAACCTTTGTTAAATGCAGTATTTACGTATTGATACCTTTATACCAAATCGCGGATTGGTACCTCGATTGTGGGAGTATGATTAGGAAATATAAATAAATGCTAAACAATTCTGAATTCGAGTTCAACTTTGTCTTTCTCATAAACCGCGAGATGCAAATATGTGCGACCGTACAAGGCGCGCGGCGGGCGTGCACACGTACAAGCCTCGATGCTACGTTTGTTTGGGGTTACCCTACTTGTAATAATATATATTTATAATACTATGATAATAATTGGTGCTATCTTGGGAACCTGTTTTTATTAACTTGCAGAAAACCTGAAAAATGCATTAGATACCAACTGACTACCATTATTAATTAATACTGACATCGATAACTCTGCCGCCATTAGTTGAAAAGGCAAGCAAGAGACCGTTTTTCAAAAATTTTGTTGTGTATACTGCCATGATCAGTAAAAAGGTCTGTTACAATTTTAATTTTTTCCCAAGGCAGATAAGTTATGAAATTACCGCAACAGAACGATGTTTTTTTTAAATTAATTTCTTTACACATTATTTTCTCGGTTTAGAGTTTTGTCACGAGCGACCTTTAAACTAACGGCGGCAGAACTTTATACTATTATATATTTTATCTTTCCCAACTCACCATTTTGAAGCACTAAAGTTTATACATTTCCTGAGCTCTTGGTTGGTTTTCCTGAAAATCTTGTCTTTTTCCAGCAACAAAGCCTTTACTAGTAGCAACGCTAAGGCAAACATTATTGCAACTGGAATCAAATATAGTGGTACAGTTTATGCACCCTAATTGGTCTTTATTGAGGAAGCCATGGGTGCAAGCTGTGCAATTGTGTCAAGCGCCGAGGGACTTCGCGAGAGCACTTTGTGTGCTGCAGGTAAAATTTACTTTTGACATATATTATAACTTAGCCTTTTGGTCCAATGATTGCTCCTCTGTTACAATTAACAGACCTGTTAAATCAAAGTAAATAAACGAAAACTTTATTAAGACAGTAATGCTTATGACAAAAATTAGAGCTAGAAAGAATGGAATTGAGCCATTAATCTTCTTTCACAGGCTTGCATTAAGAGCGTGGTATGGGTCCCAGCATGGCATGAACAACTGGGCCATGTGAGGTTGATTAGAACAACGGCGGCTGAGCGAGAGGAGCGCAAGAAACTTGATAAAAGAGAGAAAAAGGAAAGAGAAGAAGAGGAAGAACGTTATCGCACGGCTTATAACTTCGTCAAATACTCTTTGGGACTTCGTCACCAGGTTTGTAAAAGTTTTAACAGGTTATATTGAAGATAAATTTTTAATTTTCCCTTAAGACTTTTTTGTAGTCAATATATGAGTAGAAGGATATTAGGTTAATCTGACACAAAAAGATTATTCTCCACACTTCAATGACTATTACAATTTTGGGTTTCTGCTTTTTTTAAAAAATAGTTTTATTTTTACTTCAATGTTGTTTGTTAATTAAAATTTCTTTCAGGCATGGAAACAAAAAGGTGAAGAGTACAGAATTCATGGCCAATGGGGCTGGCTATGGAACTCGGCTACAAGAAAATTTAAGAAACACAATGCTAATTCAAAACCAAGTCTATACAATGGCCCTGCAAAGATAGCTGTAAGAGTCAGGGAAGGCAGCATCATCAAAGTGTTGGCAGTTGAGCCTAAGACATATGAGTACTTGTTATCTAATGATACCGCTGACAAAGAAGTACTTGATAAATGTAAGTGAATGAACTCCAAATTTTAATTACTTTGTATTTTGTTCTGTGCTGCAAAAAAATCAGATTTTTAAGTTTTCTTTTCTTTTCCAGTACCACAATCAATGCGTAATCTGAAATTAGAAAAAGACAACGAAGACTTTGAAGAAATTGACGTCGAAAAGGCCCTAAGCTCATCAACAAGGCGGTACTACCCAAAAATAGCTAGAAAATCCAAACTGGATGACTTTCTAGCGCGCAGAACGTATCTCAAATTTATGGAAGAGAAAAAATTGGCTAATGTTTTAGCTAATGTCAAGAAAGAGGAGATGGATGTTAAGAGCGAAGATGATAAGAATATTGATGTAGAAAACGATGAGCCCGAACCAGATGTAACATCTCTTTGTGATCCCATAACTGACTCAAAGACTGTAAACCCCTCAACAAAAAATGCAGAGTCACTAAGAGATCAGTACCACAAGTTGAGTCAGTTGACCAAACATTATAAATGTTATTCAGCTGACTGTAACAAAACTGAACCCTCTGCCTTACTTCAGGGTTCAGATGTCAAAATAAACTGCTTTTCTCCTTTATGTATTGAAAAAGGCAAGTTGTTGAATGAGTTGTTTACGTTGTTGAAGAGCGGCGCGATAAATTCTTCAATTCTGTCGAATTCCAAAGAAAATTCTAAAACGTCAATTTTGGAACAGTATTTGCTAGGAAAAACTGTCAACACAACAAATTCGAATGAGAATATATTGACCGATCTGTTGTCAGCTGTTGCATGTGCACAAGAGTGTGATAGCAAAAGTTCAGATAACTTTGTGAAGCGAAAGTTTAGTAGTGATACGGACGTAACTGTAAAGACTGAAAGAGACGATGACAATCTCTTGAAAACCGAAAGTACACTTGAAGAATCTGCAGTTCCAGCCATCGGCAACGAAATGGACATTGATATAACTTGCAATGATAATGATGAGAATGAAATGGAAATAGGTCCCTTGAAGGAGTTGACAGACAATGACCAGGAACAACCAACAGACCAAGAGTCTACCCAAGATGCTGATTCCGAGCAAAATCGACCGCCGATCCCGAAGTTAAAAATAACTAGAGGCAGATCTGCTAAAGCAGCAGCTAATAGTTCTACTGACACAAATAATACTGATGCGTACAAGTGTTCTTCGGTAATGCCAGTTAAAGACGAAAAACCAAAATACCGCGCAACAATCAACAGGCGATTTGGGCTCGTTAAGCCAAAAAGAGACGACAGGCACATAAAGGAAGAGAAATCTGAGGGTGCTGTAGTAAGAGTCTACTCAGCCGAATGTCCAAAAGGAAAAGTGTACCTGAAAAAAGTTCAAACGTCAGCAGTGGAAAAGAAAAAGAAAAGAACTCCCGTAAAATACCCCCTATGCTCTTCATTCCATACTAGAAGTAAGGCTAAAACTATATTAGTGTTACCTCATCATGAATTGAAAAGACTGTCGAGGCAATCTGGACATAGTGCCGTTATCGGCTTTAGTCATAATGCAAAGCCTAATCAAGCTTTGTGGCCTTATCCGTGTGCTAGACCTCTTTTTAAGACGTGTTGGTTGTATCGTACGGTGAACTTGCAGTGGCTCGCTAGTGCTGCCTTGCAGCTTCGTATAATGTGGGCTTGTTTACGGTGGGACGATATGTCCGCCAAGCCGGCGACCGCTGACGGGAAACATCAGTTAACGACAGACACAGAAATTGTTTCTCTGGAATTGTTGAAACATCGACACATTGGACAGTTCTCTGAACGCACTCAGTACCTGAGACGACGCGTCGTCATTCCCTTAGAACTGCCTAAGACGGTGCGGGAGGTAACTTCGATAAGAAGTGGACTAAGAAAGAGAAAGCGAGCTGAATCTCCACAAAACACTGAACCACAAGTAAGACTTTTGTATTTTCATACATTGGTTTTGTAAGTTAGAGATCAACTTAACCCTGCCATGAAGTGATAAAGATACTGTAATTCCTTATTGGATTATGTATTGGAAGAAATATAGTACTGGAGTGTACCCTTTACATGAATGTCTAGAGTGTTCTCCTTACAGAAGTCACTAATTAAATAACAATGCATTTTTATATTATTTGTAGTCTTAGTTTTTTTATTTTCTCTAGGTCACTGAAGAATGGGTAGATGAAGATAAATTAGAACTGTGGGAAGTACGACAATACGGTGAGCGCGCGGAACGAGCAACGCCTGTAACGCGTACCTCCACCGGCAAACTGCCCCAAAGAAACACCGCGCCGCCACCGGCCAACGCTGCTGATCTCAAGGACAAAATGGAGCAGCAATTACGAGAACAAAGAGCTGCACATCAGCAGAAAAGAGCTCTAGAAATGTCTCAAGGTACATTATGTATATATATATATTTGTTTTTTATAATAGCAAGTGACAGGACGAACAAGTGGTGTGCCTGGTGGTATGCTACATGTCAGTCGACACGTCTGTCCATTACAGTTGCAATGCCACTCAGAGCTTTAAATCGCAAAGATCAAGAAAGTTGACAAGTCCCATGTGCTTGTAATTTCACCAGCTTCCTTACCATTCAAAAACTGGAATGCAGTAATGCTAACATTAATGCTTGGCGGCAGAAATAGGTAAGGTGGCAGTACTTCCCTGGACGAACTCTTGCACAAGGAGCTCTCTTGCTACAGAAAAGTATTACCCAGTTTCACACGTTACAATTAAATATGGTAAAATTAAACATTTTCTTGTAGATAAATCCAAATCCACACCTAATCAGTATGCCGGGAAGAGTACACTCACTTCGCTTCTAACTACCAACGCCACAACCCCAACTGGTCCAAAAACTGTAATAGGTACCAGAAGAATAATAATGACCAAAGGTGCTGACGGTACAACTCGTGTTATCAGCCAACCGATCTCTGGAACGCCTAAGCCGACTCAATCCGCTGACGCCACGCCTAAAGCAGCGGCAACACCACACAAGGAGGGACCTCAGAAAGTTCAAATTATTCGAGCCCCTGATGGAAAGGTAACAGTTCGCGGATTGTTACCAGGCCAACAGCTTATACAAATGCCCGATGGAAAGTTGCACGTCGTTATGGCTGGACAGCAAGGTATAGCTGGACAACTTGTGGCGGCGTCCCCGAGTAAGCCGACGGAGACAACCCCCGAAAATAACACGCCCGCTCCTGTTAAGAACGTAGTGGAAGAGGCTAGGCCGGCTGCGTCACCACGCGTGGCGCCACAACCCGCTCAAATCATCGTGCAAGGCAACCGACAAATCGTAGTGCAATCGCAACAGCAAGTTGTCGTACAACCAACGCAGCAAGTGGTCGTGCAACCCCAGCAACAGGTTCGTACCATTGTTTTAGGGATGAAACACATCGATTTTGTCTTTTTATGGGGTAATTAGTATTAAATATGTTTCGCATTCATGTTTCGATCGTTTTTGGAACATCTATCAAATTGAACAAGTTTACAGATTCAAAATTAAATGTTTTAAAATTTATTTATTTATTATATGGACAACAAAACAGATTACAATGGAATTGCATTGATAAGAGTTAAGTAATAACATAAGTTATGTACTAGATTCTAACCCTTCTTATGTTGACACATCATTATAAAGTAACAAGAAAGATGTACTGTTCACAATTGGCTAATAATTTCCTTATTTAATTAATATACAAACAAATTTACTAAATACAAAAACGAAATGGGTTTGGGTGAAAGTCAAAAATATTACGTAAATATAGTCTATATAATCAGTGTAATTTATCTATTCATAAATGTGTAATTACGCAAAATTTCATTGTTTTTAGATGGTCGTGCAAGCGGGTACTAGAGCAAGCCTGCAACCACGCATGCAGACGATACAAGCAGTACAGACTGTGGGCGCAGTGGGCGGCATGCAGACAGTGATGATGGCCGGACAATTAGTCCGTGGCGCGCGCGTGGCCACACCCGCGCCCGCGCCGCGCCCTGCTCCGCCCCCGCGACCCCGCGCCCCCGCCACGCAACAGATCGTCGTCAACAACCCCGCGCTCGTGCAGCAAATCGCTGCCGGCAAGATCCAGCTCGCTACGGTCAACGGACAGCAGGTGACGTAACATTCATACTGTTGCAAATTTTGTAAACATGACGCCGTTACTTTTTAACTGGGATTTAACCATTATGCCTTGTCATACACAGGTGTTAATTCGACCCACCGGTAACAACCAAGCTCAAATAGTAGCACACATTGGTCAGAGTCCCGCACCGGTCCAAACCCCGGTGCAGGCGGCGGTTGCTGCGGCGCCCGCTGTGACGCCGATTCGCGCCGCGGCGCCGTTGCAGCCACAACCGCAGCCACAGCAGCTTACTGAAGATCAAATCATGGAGAAACGGCTTCTGGCCGGTCAACCACCTGGCACGGTTATCAAAACTGTTACAGCGCAGGTAATCAATGTTGCTCAAACACTCGCTGCCGACTTATTGCGTAAACATATGACGTTTCAAATGCTACAGCACAGCGTTCTATTTCACAATAGGCTTTAAACTAAATAACTTTTTCCACTTTTGAAATTTTAAGCAACAGTTCTGTTTTCCACACAAACATTCAGCTGATGCATGTTTGTTGACCGCGATTAAAAATATATAAACAATTATTAGATACTCGTATAAATGAAGAACGTCAACAACAACAACCTAACAACGAACATAATTTTTCTTTTAAGGTAATGCAGACAAGCAGTGGACCCAGTATAGTCCTGCAGGGCCTACATGGCTACACCCTCACTCCTCAGCAACTGGCGTTGGTACAGCATCAAGTGAAACAACAATTGCTAAAAGGTGAGCAGAACTTATCTCTTTTGGCAATAATAATTTTGTAACTGAAATTCAAATTACAATGCGCTAAGTTGAAGCGCTTTTATTAGCAAGTGTAACTCAGTTGTCTGCTAGAGACGTTTTGAACTATGAGACAGGCGTGATAATATGGTGCTATTTTTGGTTAATTTTGTTCTGCGATTTAGCCACATTTAACGACTGCTTGGTCGTCAGAGTCTAGTACGATACGATGCTGGTTACGCCACGTATACCTCGACCTCGTACACGGATCTCCTCACAAATTATGCCCATATAAGAGCACGTCCACATTTTATCGATTTACAGAAACAAAATTATAATGCAGATTACCTTACGCAGTAACGCAGTAGATGATAACGAGAGGCGATGGTCACCCGGTTGAACCTGAGCCTGAAAGCGGTTTCCGACTGGGGAGACGCGAACAGGGTCAGGTTCAATACGGATAGAACACAGGCGTGTCTTTTCACATCAAAACGGAGTCCCCTACACCTTATTCCGACTTTCCGAGATGTATCCGTGCCGATAAGGGACCACCTTGAGCTACTTGGTCTGGACTTATCATCCAACTTCAACTTTGGGCGATACATCGAGTGCTTGGCAAAAAATCTTATGTCGTAGATATTCCACCTATTTGCACTAAGCGCTTTGCTTCCTCCTTTCTGATGCGTACGGCAAAGGAATGGAATGCTCTACCGTTTCCCGAAAAGTACAATTTGGGGCTATTCAAGGCTAGAGTGAAAAGGCATATTTAGGCAAACGCTTCCCATCGTCGGTCACATCGTCGCTGAACATCAGATGAGATTTTGGCCAAGCGTGTGTCTATTATATATTAAAAAATATATAATGCGTGAGACACTTTACTTACTTTCATAGTATAATGTCCTACTCATGAGGGGCAAAACGACAAATACACAAACCAAGTTTGTGTTGCAAAAACGACCGATTCGTTCTGTATACTGTTTAGGTTCTCGGGTTTATCTCAGAGAAAAGTTTAAAGAGAGTGGTATTATGACTGTGGCGTCGCAGTAGATTTACCCATATATTTTGTATGCCCGTAAAAATATACATAATTTCATTAA